GAGGTTAGTAAAGCAATTTTTGTGAAATACATCCAGCTACATTTTGCTCGAGGAAAAAGAAAAATTCTCAATGAAAGTACTATAACGACGTAAAATTTTTCCTTAATTTTTATCATCCTGCATCTTTTGAAACCTTGGTGTGCGAGTTTTGTCCGTCAGTGGACGACATCGTGATAATGGAAACGTACCCTTGGATATCGAATCAGCTGCGACATGTAAACACCATAGGTTGTGTATGCAGAAATGTTGCTATCAAGGAAGGGAAAATTCACAATATGACACTTGAAATAATCACGTTTATCATACATCTTTGTGCAAAGCTGTCCATGTTGGTTTCGTTGCAGGAAAAAATCGTGATAAGCGGCTGATGTAGTCTATTGTTACTTTGATTTCCAGTAAGTCTGTTTGGTATATACGATAGACGTGGTCAATAAATTTATTTTTTGTTGATATAGAGACAAGACGTCACCAATATATTTGAAAATGATATTTTGCAAGTTCTTTGTGACCAGTTTTGACAAACTCTTTAACAAATTCAGTCTCGTATGAAAACAAAAATCAGGCAACAGAATGACACAGTTAGATCCCAATAGACATTTACATACCATCAACGTAGTTAACGTGGAAGAGAGAGCGCATATCTTGTATCTAATACACTATACTCTATATATTTGTGTATGTATGCACTTACCTGCAGAAGCATTTGAGAGATGAATGCACTAGTAAAATATAATGTATTACTAAAGTGCAGACCATATGAGCGGAAAAATCTGTTCATGTGTAAAATTTGAACTAAGATTATTTAACGTCAGAAAAACGACACACAATTTAGGATGTTTACCAACTACTGGCATGTAGAATGTCTGGAGATAGTAATTGAGTCTGCCCTGGAAGTAAAGGTTAGTGTTTGTTGACTGAAAACAAATAGTGATTCCCTGTATTTGATTTTGTTCCCGATGTAAAATCTAATAGAATAATAGTGGCATGGAGTTCATAAAGAAATAAATTGACTGTGCGGAGAGAGCAGTATTATTCAATATCTCGGTAAGTGCGAGACATCCACTAATAGACTACATCTGAGTCCTGAGTATCTTGTGTATACATTAGAATGTCTGTATAGAAATATATTATGTTTCCGTAGTCTCGAAATAAGTATAATTTGTTGGTACGATTGAAACGGAAAACTAATTTTGTACAATAACTTTTTTATATCAACTGATTTCTACCTTTGTATTGTCCATCATTTAAATACAAGTGATCAAAATTATTTTCAAGTTGGAGAATACTTAAGACAATGAAATCAATACTCGAGTCACTTTTTTGCATCAACAATGATGATATATAACTCAGTATCACAAAGAACTTGCCAAATTTCATTTTCAAATATATTGATGACGTCTTGTCTCTAGTAAATAAGTTATACATTTATTGATCACTTTTACCGAACATACCAAACAGCGTTACTGGAAATCAAAGTCACAATAGACTCTTCTACATCAGCCGCCTATCACGATTTTTCCTGCAACGAAACCAACATGGACAGCTTTCTACAAAGATGTATGATAAACGTGATGATTCCAATTGCCTTATCGTGAATTTTCCGTTCCTTGATAGCAACATTTCTGCTTACACAACCTATGGTTTTACATGTCGCAGCTGATTCGATATCCAAGGACATGCTTCCATTATCACGATGTCGTCCACTGAAGAACAAACTCCTACACCAAGGTTACAAAATATGCAGGATGATGAATATTAAAATAAATTACGTCGTTATAGTGATTTCATTGAGAAATTTTCTATTTCTTCGTGCGAAATGTAGCTGGACGTGTTTCACGCTGATTATTTTGCCTTTTGGTTTAGTTGTTGTATGCATTGTTCTCCTTTGAGATCGTGACATACTTACTTGAATTGACAAATATTTACATGATGGGTGTCGTCGATGAAGTAGAAGACACCTGACCTCATTCTTCTTGTAATTTTGCAGAAGTATCCATGTGAAAATATATTTTGTTAATACTTTGCCCTAGTATACAAATTAATGGACTGAAGCATTCTTGTGGAAAGCAAAGTTTAGTTAGAAGCGTTCTTGAGGAAGTGGAACAAGTCCGTCTGGCCCTTCAGAGGTTAGTAAAGCAATTTTTGTGAAATACATCCAGCTACATTTTGCTCGAGGAAAAAGAAAAATTCTCAATGAAAGTACTATAACGACGTAAAATTTTTCCTTAATTTTTATCATCCTGCATCTTTTGAAACCTTGGTGTGCGAGTTTTGTCCGTCAGTGGACGACATCGTGATAATGGAAACGTACCCTTGGATATCGAATCAGCTGCGACATGTAAACACCATAGGTTGTGTATGCAGAAATGTTGCTATCAAGGAAGGGAAAATTCACAATATGACACTTGAAATAATCACGTTTATCATACATCTTTGTGCAAAGCTGTCCATGTTGGTTTCGTTGCAGGAAAAAATCGTGATAAGCGGCTGATGTAGTCTATTGTTACTTTGATTTCCAGTAAGTCTGTTTGGTATATACGATAGACGTGGTCAATAAATTTATTTTTTGTTGATATAGAGACAAGACGTCACCAATATATTTGAAAATGATATTTTGCAAGTTCTTTGTGACCAGTTTTGACAAACTCTTTAACAAATTCAGTCTCGTATGAAAACAAAAATCAGGCAACAGAATGACACAGTTAGATCCCAATAGACATTTACATACCATCAACGTAGTTAACGTGGAAGAGAGAGCGCATATCTTGTATCTAATACACTATACTCTATATATTTGTGTATGTATGCACTTACCTGCAGAAGCATTTGAGAGATGAATGCACTAGTAAAATATAATGTATTACTAAAGTGCAGACCATATGAGCGGAAAAATCTGTTCATGTGTAAAATTTGAACTAAGATTATTTAACGTCAGAAAAACGACACACAATTTAGGATGTTTACCAACTACTGGCATGTAGAATGTCTGGAGATAGTAATTGAGTCTGCCCTGGAAGTAAAGGTTAGTGTTTGTTGACTGAAAACAAATAGTGATTCCCTGTATTTGATTTTGTTCCCGATGTAAAATCTAATAGAATAATAGTGGCATGGAGTTCATAAAGAAATAAATTGACTGTGCGGAGAGAGCAGTATTATTCAATATCTCGGTAAGTGCGAGACATCCACTAACTAATAGACTACATCTGAGTCCTGAGTATCTTGTGTATACATTAGAATGTCTGTATAGAAATATATTATGTTTCCGTAGTCTCGAAATAAGTATAATTTGTTGGTACGATTGAAACGGAAAACTAATTTTGTACAATAACTTTTTTATATCAACTGATTTCTACCTTTGTATTGTCCATCATTTAAATACAAGTGATCAAAATTATTTTCAAGTTGGAGAATACTTAAGACAATGAAATCAATACTCGAGTCACTTTTTTGCATCAACAATGATGATATATAACTCAGTATCACAAAGAACTTGCCAAATTTCATTTTCAAATATATTGATGACGTCTTGTCTCTAGTAAATAAGTTATACATTTATTGATCACTTTTACCGAACATACCAAACAGCGTTACTGGAAATCAAAGTCACAATAGACTCTTCTACATCAGCCGCCTATCACGATTTTTCCTGCAACGAAACCAACATGGACAGCTTTCTACAAAGATGTATGATAAACGTGATGATTCCAATTGCCTTATCGTGAATTTTCCATTCCTTGATAGCAACATTTCTGCTTACACAACCTATGGTTTTACATGTCGCAGCTGATTCGATATCCAAGGACATGCTTCCATTATCACGATGTCGTCCACTGAAGAACAAACTCCTACACCAAGGTTACAAAATATGCAGGATGATGAATATTAAAATAAATTACGTCGTTATAGTGATTTCATTGAGAAATTTTCTATTTCTTCGTGCGAAATGTAGCTGGACGTGTTTCACGCTGATTATTTTGCCTTTTGGTTTAGTTGTTGTATGCATTGTTCTCCTTTGAGATCGTGACATACTTACTTGAATTGACAAATATTTACATGATTGGTGTCGTCGATGAAGTAGAAGACACCTGACCTCATTCTTCTTGTAATTTTGCAGAAGTATCCGTGTTAAAATATATTTTGTTAATACTTTGCCCTAGTATACAAATTAATGGACTGAAGCATTCTTGTGGAAAGCAAAGATTAGTTAGAAGCGTTCTTGGGGAAGTGGAACAAGTCCGTCTGGCCCTTCAGAGGTTAGTTAAGCAGTTTTTGTGAAATACATCTAGCTACATTTCGCTCGAGGAAATAGAAAAAATTCTCAATGAAAGTACTATAACGACGTAAAATTTTTTCCTTAATTTTTTATCATCCTGCATCTTTTGAAACCTTGGTGTGCGAGTTTTGTCCGTCAGTGGACGACATCGTGATAATGGAAAAGTGCCCTTGGATATCAAATCAGCTGCGACATGTAAGCACCAAATGTTGTGTATGCAGAAATGTCGCTATCAAGGAAGGGAAAATTCACAATATGGCACTTGAAATAATCACGTTTATCATAATTCCTTAATGGGGCTGATATTCGTGATTAATTTCTTTTTTTTTTTTTTTTTACTCAGTATAATTTTTGCTTCATTGGACGACCATTCGACAGGCTTGCATTCATTGGATGGGTAATGGCATACATTGTATGGTCATCGGTCATATTTATGCTTTCTTAACTACTTTGTGAGATTATTCTCTTCTTTGCTGACCTCTGTTATTTCGTTGTTTTGACAGATTCGTTGTCATTTTTCGTCGAGTTTTTCTATCTTGTTGCCTTTTACAGAACCTGTTCCCATGTTCTTGTCCTCTTCTCCCTGGTGCACACCTTTAAGTGTTTAAGCGTTGGATTGTGAAGTAGATTGGACAGGACCTACTCGTGCAGCGGACAATTTCTCTTCATTCCAAAACGTCCTTTTTTTCCAACAGCAGAGATACTTGAACTTTTATTGCCTCTAGCGATGTGCCTCCTTTTCCTGTACATATGTGATACTGCCACTGATGACAACTATAGGTTGATTCTCGCCAACAATCGTGATGAATACTGGGACAGACCCACAGCTTTGGCAGGTTTCTGGGGTCCGAACAAACATATACTCAGTGGTGAGTTTGAAAGACTTTGCATGTATCAATGAAATAAGATACCGAAGTATAAACAGCAGCAAAATTCAAACACGAAATCAAAGAAACGGGGTAGAATATGAACCAGATAACGATTTTCAGTGAAGCTCGGGAATACTACACTGAGATTAAGTCCATCAATACTAGATCGAAGTCAGGAAATCTATATATATATCGTATTATTAGTGCACACTGATAGCTGTTGATACCTTTAGATACCTATGCATATATCGATATCAATAACTAATGATACCTATATATATATTAATACCTATGTATATTAATACCTATATATATCGAAATATATATATATATATATTGATACCTATGTATATTGATACCTAGTTCAATTAGATGAGAACATTGTGTATCGTTTAAATATGTAAACACAAAAGGCCAACAAGGCAAATAAACTTGATTATCGCTGACGTTTTCAAGCCGTGTCTCAGCTATCTTCAAGCGATTACTTTAATGTCTTGGTAACAACATTATGACTGTATTTGTGCTGCCTTTTGCTAAATTGATATATCGTTTGATATATTTGTGTTCTCTAGGTCCTGAATTCTAAGTGACGATTTTCATGACTTATGAGTTATTTTACCTTACCTTATCTGAAGGACCGGATAGCTCATGTCCTACCACAGGATCCGATAAATGTATCCTTCAAATTGTTATCAGTCACAGACAACTAAGTGCATTTATGTCAAACTTGGGAAGAATCCTTAGAATTTTGGGTGACATTGACTCATATTTATACACACGGGATTTGACCTCGCTGGAGCCAAACGGACAGCGCCCATGAGAAAATACAAATGAAGGCTTGAAGCATTCTGAGGAGAAGGGAAATTAAGACAAGTCTAAATATTCCTTCTCCGTCTGGTCCTCCTGAGAGTTGAGGGGTTTGGTAAAATAGGGCTGATACATGTACATCTTCAGCTGCAGTGCAGATGTTTATAACATTCTTGGGTAAAGGAACCCAATATTATGCAATCCGTTATGGGATATACTTGTATCAGCTTGTCTGTCTGATTATCCGTCAGAAAAAATAGCATAAGGATATTGCCCGAGTATGCTGAAATTGATAAAAACAGAAAAATGATTAGCGGGATCGTGTCCAGACGTCTCCTGAAATTAGAATTTATTTCAGTGAAACTATAAAAAAATAGTATTATGGGTCATATGTAGATGAAAGAAAACGTGATTTGTCTTGTATTCATGTCACAATACATATGGATTTGCGTGATGGTTCATAGCTTTTATAGTACGTGGTAAGGAAATTAAGCACTGAATAGATGCTAAATGATAATATATTACACAAGTTATCATTATAATTCTCACAGTAAAAGTAACTGCATTTGCAGTTCATTCCATCTTATCGTTATGCAGGAAATCATGCAAAGCAGAAGAGAATATATTTCATTAAACATAATATGATTAAATAAATAGTTACTTATCGCGATCTCGCACAGGCGTCGATATGGAACCGAGAAGAGAAAGGGGTACCTGGTTAGCTGTTTCAAAGGCTGGAAGGATAGGAGCTCTTCTGAACATACCGGGTACACAAAAACATAAACAGTGTAGAGGTAAGCTTATCATATGTTTTTGCAGTACAAATAAAGTTTAATAAGAGGTGAAATTTTTAGCTAATGCATTTGATCATAATTAATTGTGGATGAAGCGTAACAAGAAATACTTAATTTAGTTGTTTTGAAGATGATCTCACATTTCCGTTGAAGAGTGAGTAAAGTTATGAGAAAATGACAGCTTCGGGATGTCTTGGATATATTCCAAACATGGTACGAATTCTAATACAATACCTGAATGTTATTCTCTTTTTAAGAATGCAATGTTGTTCGTGTCATTCTTAATAATATATTTTCAAGATATTTTTTTTTAAATATGATAAATAAAATATGTGTTATGTCGCTTTCTGTCATGACGTAATTGACCGGAAGTAACCGACAAAGTTACCATGGGCATAGCACCGACATTGTTTCATATAGATGCCCCTATTTTCTCTGGAGTCTGTGTCTTAACAAAAGAAAAAAACAGCATTCATATTCTGATGGTAGCACAACACGCGTAGGTTTTTTGTCATTTCACAGGATGCTCCTGCTTCCACACATAGCCACTGCCGTCATCCATTTGTGTCTCCATCACTGTGACCGATTTCACAGCCGCTGTCACGAAGATCCTGCCTTAAAAGAGTGTACAAAATAATACACAACTGAATTGAATCTTTACGGAAGCGTATTCCGGACACGTTGTTTTTTTTATTTTATCTGGAAATTTCGAAAGTTACTCGAAATTTCGAGCTAGTAATCCGAAATTTTGAGATAGCAACTCGAAATTTAGAGATAGCAACTCGAAATTTAGAGTTAGTAATCCGGAATTTAGAATTAATAAGTCGAAATTTTGAGTTATTGAAATTTTGAGATATTAACCCGAAATGTCGAGATAACAACTCGAAATTTCGACTTACTTACTCAAAATTGCCGATTACCATCTCGAATTTTCGAGTTAAAATGAAACACAACGTGGCCGGAATATGCTTCCGTACATTTCCGTGCAAATGATTTTTTCTTGCTCTTTTCATGTAATGCTATTATTTTCTGAATGAAAGTCATTGTCGTATGTTATGTTGTATGTTTATGTTGAGCTGGCATTTATCTAGTAATGTTTATTTTGGATTGCATGTAGTGGTGCGTCGTTACTTCCGCCATTCTGCATTGTTAAGCTGAAACGATAAGACGCTTTCCATGCTGAATCAGTTTCAATCCAGAGTAGTATTTCTGATGCATTTTCTAGGTATGTTGATACCCGATTACCTGAACGGAGAGCTAACGGCTTGTCAGTACCTAACACAGAAGATTCAGCCAATTCATCGTGATTTTAAAACGTTTAACTTGGTTCTTATCGACTTGAGGTAAATATTTTTACTTATTATTTTGCTTTTTCTTTCGGTACAAACACCCTACTCGAATACTACAGAATATTTTCAGAAGGTAGTTGGCAGAGCAGGTCAAAATATTTTTCATTTCATCATTTATCCTTAAATCGATATCGTCATTGAGAGGCTAACACGTTAAAACCAAATATGGTCAAAGTGATCTCATTGAGAAATATTCTATTTCTTTGTGCGATATAGAATCGCTGCTGTTTGATGTTCGTTAGCTTGATGTTGGTTCCGTTGTTTGACTACCTTGTTCTCACCCGAGAAAGTGGCATTTATTACATGGTTAACAAAGACTTACATGGCAGGTGTCGTCAATGAAGCAGAAGACGGAACATCTCGTCTTATTAACCTTTTACTTTTTTATGAGTAAATTTTTCCTTTTGTTTATGTATTGCTCAAGTTTCATTGAATTTGAGTTCAAATTATTTGCATGTTGGTATTTTTCTTCTTGTTTTCGATTAAATTACCAATACGTTAAGACACTGGGAACTACACACCTGGAAACTATGCCCTGTAGGAATAATGGTAGGAATATATTTGAGGTTCTATGTACTTATTGCTATTAACTTACGATCACACAATTCTGCTTACAGTGTTAAAGTCAATGTTTACTGATACGAACAGATATCATTAGGATATAAACGTTGTGTAATTAAGAGATAGTATGATTTTTTTAACATTTATGTATTACGTGTAACTTTACCACAAACATATATTGACGTATCGCCGAAAAATGTATACGACAACAAAGGTTTCACAATAGTTATCTTAAACTTGTTATATCAAAGTGGCTGGATGACAAAGATCCATAAATACCGAAATCGTCCCTAGAAAATATTTGTGACTCATCACCATCTTATATCTCGTATTTCAAAAATGTCGTGCATCAATATGTTGTAGTTAAGTGTTATGTTAAATGGGATAATGATATGTTTTGTGTTTTATCCCGTTAACTGCTTTTATATTTAGATCAAGGACAACATCTGCCACCTACTATAACAACAAGACAGATAGTAAGATTTCTCTACCAAACGGTAAGCTAATCATTCCCACAGCTCCATATTCTAAAGTCTGTAACCAAAATACAAAAGTGACTGACGTTGCTGTAACTTTTTATTTGAAAGTTCGATATAAATGTGTTGGTCTAGCAACCAATATGGATATAAAGACTTACTCCCGTTGCAAGCTGCGTTTAAACTCACATTTACATCTTCAAAATAACAGCCAATCATTGGAATTCCTTTTGACGATTTTTTTACTTTGGCAGGTGTGTATGGGTTTGATAATTCTGTATTAGATGAGGCTTGGCAGAAAACAGTCCATGGTCGTTTTGCCTTCCACACCGCAGTCCAGAAATATGGCAGAAAAGACGATAAGGACCAGTTAGTCCGGTCTATCTTCAATATACTATCAGATAGCGCGAGGTAAGTTTTGTCAAACTCTCTAAACATAATTGTTTTATTTACATACAATAAATTATAAATCGTGTATGTCTTACTCATATCCTCACACACATGGTCAGCCTAACACTGATCCGTACACATTTGATGTTCGCAAAATCTACGGGAAATTGACATGAACCAAGTACAAGTGTTAAGGCTGATGCGTAGAAACATCGAACAAAAGAGATTTTTACACGGAAACTCTGGAAAGAGTATAAACAAAATAAGATAAGGTGTTTCGAAATAGTCAGCGTCTTCTGCTTCTTTGTCGGCAACCGCCACGTCTGTAGAACATCCAACTCAATATCGCATGAGATTATCAGTCGTTTGAATTAATAGTTTTCATAATTCTGCATTTCTTGAAACCCGGTGTTGTTATTGTGTCTGTCAGTTGCCGACATGCTGCAGGGGATATTGAGAACAAGTTATGAATATCAAATCAACGGCGACATGCAAATACCATGGGTTGGTGATGCTAAGTTGTTGTTCTGTAGAAATAGAAAATCTAAAACAGCGGCTGATGTAGAAGAGTCCGTCTCAAGGCGAGAACAAAAAAATTGAGAATCATCACTTGTTCATGTATTCATGTTTAAGGTTTCCAGAAGACAAACACTTAAATGAACAAGCTAAGGACTTATATATACCTGAAAACATCCGCCTCGCTTGGAGCTCAACGTTCGTATGGTCCCCCTCAATCAGACACGGCACAAGGTTTGTAAAGCACATTGATAAGGAGGGTACATGGTCAAGAGGTAGATCATTCAAATGTTTCAAAATTCAATTTCAGATGTCGTGCGTCGTCAGTCGTTTGTAAACTTTTCACATTTTAACTATGTTCCTCAAGTTCTACAAATGAATTTAAGATTAAACTTGTCTGAAATGATCCAAGAGCTTTAATTTTTGTGTCGGTCCGAATTCAGTTATGGTCGAAACTTTGAAAAACACATTTAAAACCTCTTCTCAAGCTCCACTGATAGAATTACGCAGACAATTAGTGTTAATGTTGAGGAAGAGAAACAGACAAAGTGTTGCTTCTCTTCAGCTTCATCAACAGTTCAATGTGCCTGCCATATTGCCATTATGCAACGTATTTGTGAAAGCATGGTTTACCTTAACAAGACGTATTTTAAACTCTTCTCAAACACTTTCGACGGAATTGAGCTGAAATTTGTCTGAAATTATCCAGATATTATTGTTATTTCAGGGGTTGGTCCAAAATCCACCATGGTCTCTATCTTTACAAACACATTTCTAACTTCTCTAATACCACTGGTTGCATTGACGTGAAAGTTGGTATAATTTATTTATTCAATATGGCAGCTAAGGCTACCATTTTGTATCATTGTTTCTTTGAACAATTCAATATTGTTTCTTTGAACAATTCTAATTCAGTATGGCCACAATAATTTTATAGCTTCTTCCCGTGGTGTCATTGAGATGAAATGTTATATTTAATTCTTATTTATTCATATTGGCGCGAGGAGAAGTGATTTTTGCTTCTATTGCTAAAATGTTTCGAACTGTTTTGATCATTTAATTATTGTTCCTACTACTAATATTATTGTTGTGTCATATATAGTCAGGTGACCGTTAATGCCCATGGGCCTCTTGTAATTTGTTTTCAATTTTTTTCCCTTTTTTCCTTTTTCTTTTTCTTTTTTTCTCTCTTTCTCTCTTCGAGAAAGTCTGGCATAATACAGAAGAGCAAAGTCCTCTAATTTGGGGTTTACATTGTCGAATGTTAGCTAACAATCATCATTGCAAGACAATCATATTCTACACAATACAAACTGCAGACTCCAAAGGACCGCGGGGTTTTGTTACTTAATTCCAAATTGGGGACAGAATGTGATTTTAGTTTTTGGTTCATCTCTAAGAAATGGAATTATCGCTCACAGGTTCAATGAGAATATATTATTAACAGATTATCGTCTGACCTTCAAGTGCAAATGATGGAGAGAACGGTTGGAAAGGAAGGGTGGGGTAGGGTAAGGGGAGAAGTTGGTGATGTAACAAGTTTGATATCTGCAACCTTGAACATGATTCGTATGATAAATCAGTCATAAATCAGATACATTAAATGGACATGAGCTAGACTGCTAAACTGTGAACGGTTCATAGTAGTGTGTAGACCCTCTCTACTCTATATGATGCTGTCTTTTTCAGGACCAGCACCATTTTATTAGTGGACAAGTTTGGAGAGTGCGAATACATCGAACGGACGTTTAAAATCCCAGTGAACCCATACTGCCTCAAATATCAAACGAAATTTTTCCGACTGAAACTGTACTAATACAACGTTAACCAGTCGATGGATTAATGGAAAACGTTTTCTTTGCGTTTAAAACAAATAATTAAAACAGATAACATATAAAAAAAGAGACAAACTTTTGTAAGTACATCATTTTAAATTATTTTAGTATATAGAACCGATGGAAGATAGAATTTGGTATCAGGCACCAAATAATTTGTGTAATTCATCGAATTGATTGCGTTGAAATTTATTCACATTTGTCCAAACCGCGATAAATCTTTTCATAGCGATAGGGTTTTTTTTTATATCATGTGTGTAAACTATCATTAAAAGTATGAAATTAACCTGTATAGTTATGGCTGCATATATAGTAATTTTATAATAATTTTTGATGAAAATGATTATATTTAGATATGAAATATCCTTTAAAATTGTTGTATGGTTCACCTTAATTGAAGACAGGCAGTTTGAAAAATATATATATGTTATATAATTGTATATATCATATTAATGTTCTTTTATAACACTAATAACACCCTCTTCTTGGCAGTACCCATTTCACTTTAATTAACGTTTTAACCTGAAGAGATTATTTTTCATTGAAATGTTTAGCTTATATTGTGTTGCTTTTTAGAATGTTTCCAATTAAAGAAAGTCGCTTGTTATGTAAAAGTTGAGTCAGACAGTCGGAAGCTCATCCTCGTTTCTTCTGTCACCGTGTAAGGTTATTGTTTACTATATAGGTGGGTGTCTAGATATGTCTCTATGTGTTGACTGTGTAGTCGGTGTCCTGGGAGACACCAAGAGCTGTTCCTTTACATGTATATGTTGTGTGTCCCAGCGGTGATAAGGGGTCTCGTCATGTTTTTCCCCAAGTCGATGTTATATTGTCCCAGAACATTTAAACATATTGAAAACTGCCAGGGTTGGGAATCTGGGTTCATGATCTGCACAGAAATGTACTCATGCAACAGCGCTCTCGTTAACATTCTAATGACAGACATCCATTTTATTCATTCAGATCTTTACATATATAATCAGTTTCTCATTCATTCGTCAAAAAAATTATCTTTTCATAATGATTTTGCAGTGACCTCTATCCAAAAGAAAATCCAATTTATTCATTCATTCATGTTTGATACAAATCTGACATAATAATGAGATAACATATGCGATAGACGAGACAGGCTAGTGTGCACCTCCCGACAAGTCCACGTGTTGTGTTTTGTTCACATCTGTTCTTCGAATAAATTATGTTAAACGGTTTATGTGACTGGTTTATTATTACCACGGGCCTCCAGAAAAAGGCGGATTAATAAGTTGTGAGCCCTGTATTGAAGAAATTAAGCATGAATGCCCTTTTCAGCTTTGCTAGTCCCTGACTATTTAAGGCTGTGTACCCGAAGGTTGGTGTCATTTAATCAGTTTATGTCGAAGTGGTAGCAGTCTAAAGTAAACAAGGCAAGTAATTTTTGCACAATGTACAAAATGTATAAGAAAAGTTCAGCACAGATTATGTTTGAGTCTGTTGTTTATGCTTGTTTTCAGTGTCTCACATAGATGAGAGGTTAACGCTGTTGGTCTATAAGAGACAAAGTCTTCTTCATCCTTACCAATTTTGTGCCAGAATTCTATCAGTGAATTTTAAAATGGCAAAAGATAAACAATATATGCCCGGTGATGTGCTTTGCCTGTATTTTAGTTTTTTTTTTTAATATACTTGACTAGAAAACGAGCAATTTAAGTTGTTCTCTTTTTTCAAGCATCCTTTAATGCCTCTGTAATATGTTTCTGACTTTATTGTCTATAAATTCCCGAGTACAGTTGTTAAAGCTGTTTGCTTTTTGGAATTGTTCTGCCAAAATATTTGTTTCTTTCCAAACTGGTTTTGTCCACGGCATTTTTTCCTTATATGGGTATTTTTCTTGATGCTTGAATTTTGTTTCCTATGCTGTTCTATTGAAATGTTGTTTTCTTTATATTCTGTAACATTTAAGATTAATTTCTGAAGGATATTTTCTACATTTAACTTCCCATCTACGTTTAAATTTTTGTTCCAAGCGCTTTTGTGTTTTCTGTTTTATTTTCCTGATGTTAATGAAGTGTGGCTACATCTACGAGAATAAGGTCATGTGTATATTTACCGATGTTTCCATTTTGTGTGTCATCGATGGTGACAATGTCCTTAGTTTCCTATGCTGTTCTATTGAAATGTTTTTTTTATATTCTGTAACATTTAAGATTAATTTCTGAAGAATATTTTCTACATTTAACTTCCCATCTACGTTTAAATAGTTTTGTTGTTGTGCAAGCCTCGTTCCATTAAGAATTGTGTTTTCTGTCGTTACGTTTTCCTGATGTTAGTCCTTCTACGACTCGTCAGTGATGCTTTAGTTTCAAACCTAGGAGGCGACAGAAGAAAATCCAAAATGATCAAAAGAAATGTAAAAACAACATCTAGAAGGATAAGGTGAATTTGCTCTTGTCCTGCACGTCTTCAAAACGTCAGACAATTGTTTATCATTCCGGTCCCAACTGCTGTTGAACATATTAACGATACCTTTGAACTCATCGATGACACCTTATATAACGGTTCACCTACCTCCGGAAGTGACGTAACAACACAGAGTTAACAGAGATATGCATCTTTCAGTAAGAAGATTCAAAATTGTAATGCTTTTGTAATGACTACCACAGTCACGACCTGTGTATTACTGGATACGGGTTCATGTTTTTTTTATAAATGTCACAACTTATACGTCTGCTGCAAACTTAAGCACCTTCTACACGTACCGTAATATCTTTGAACTTAAGTTATTTATTAAACTCCAAAAGTACAACAAAATATCCACTTTCAGTTTCTTACGGATAAAAAAGAAGACAAGTTTTGATTTTTACACAATTTTAATGCTTTATTATGTGTCTTCGTCTTTTTAAATCCCACTATAAGCATCATTTGGCAAATTTACGAGATTCGTAAAATTCCTAAGAAAACTTTCATTAGATAATTACACAAAGTTAAGATTAAAACGTACTTCGGTGAGTATTATCGATTAAGAAACACTTTGTGAGGATATCGAAACAGATAAGAATTAATAAATGTGAGTGTAATTTAAAATATAGACCGATGTTTGACGAAGTTCAGAAGGCCAACATGTAAAAAAAACGGGACCAATCTGCATAGTCAATGTACACATGTAGAAGGAGCGTTTACAGGTAAAGTGGGAGGTCACGTGTGCTGTGTACTTCTCTTGACGTCAAAGCACAGATAGACGGAATGGTGTAGTCATTCAAGGGCTCGCTTGATCACACTCACGCTCGTAAACATCGACATCACACGATAATGTCTAAAAGAATCACCAATGGACACATATTTAAAAACGTGAATATCAACTGCTTTTGTACAAATAATGACTCATGATTTTCAATTGAATTTATTTCAGATAAATACTAACCAGTACAGTATCATACTGACCAGTACTGTAGCATACTGACCAGATTTACCAGTACTGTATCATACTGACGAGTACTATGTCATACTGACCAGTACTGTATCTTACTGACCAGTACTGTATCATACTGACCAGCTTTACAAGTACTGTGTCGTACTGACCAGTACTGTATCATACTGACCAGATTTACCAGTACTGTGTCATACTGACCAGTACTGTATCATACTGACCAGTACTGTGTCATACTGACCAGATTTACCAGTACTGTATCATACTGACCAGTACTGTATCATACTGACCAGATTTACAAGTACTGTATCATACTGACCAGTACTGTATCATACTGACCAGTACTGTATCATACTGACCAGATTTACCAGTACTGTGTCATACTGACCAGTACTGTATCATACTGACCAGTGCTGTGTCATACTGACCAGATTTACCAGTACTGTATCATACTGACCAGATTTACCAGTACTGTATCATACTGACCAGTACTGTATCATACTGACCAGTACTGTATCATACTGACCAGATTTACCAGTACTGTATCATACTGACCAGTACTGTATCATACTGACCAGATTTACCAGTACTGTATCATACTGACCAGTACTGTATCATACTGACCAGATTTACCAGTACTGTATCATACTGACCAGATTTACCAGTACTGTATCATACTGACCAGTACTGTATCATACTGACCAGATTTACAAGTACTGTATCATACTGACCAGATTTACCAGTACTGTATCATACTGACCAGATTTACCAGTACTGTATCATACTGACCAGATTTACCAGTACTGTATCATACTGACCAGTACTGTATCATACTGACCAGTACTGTATCATACTGACCAGATTTACCAGTACTGTATCATACTGACGAGTACTATGTCATACTGACCAGTACTGTATCTTACTGACCAGTACTGTGTCATACTGACCAGATTTACCAGTACAGTATCATACTGACGAGTACTATGTCATACTGACCAGTACTGTATCATACTGACCAGATTTACCAGTACTGTATCATACTGACCAGTACTGTATCATACTGACCAGATTTACCAGTACTGTATCATACTGACCAGTACTGTATCATACTGACCAGATTTACCAGTACTGTATCATACTGACCAGATTTACCAGTACTGTATCATACTGACCAGTACTGTATCATACTGACCAGATTTACCAGTACTGTATCATACTGACCAGTACTGTATCATACTGACCAGATTTACAAGTACTGTATCATACTGACCAGATTTACCAGTACTGTATCATACTGACCAGTACTGTATCATACTGACCAGATTTACCAGTACTGTATCATACTGACCAGTACTGTATCATACTGACCAGATTTACCAGTACTGTATCATACTGACCAGATTTACCAGTACTGTATCATACTGACCAGATTTACAAGTACTGTATCATACTGACCAGTACTGTGTCATACTGACCAGATTTACCAGTACTGTATCATACTGACCAGTACTGTATCTTACTGACCAGATTTACCAGTACAGTATCATACTGACGAGTACTATGTCATACTGACCAGTA